CAAGGGCATTATTGCTACCCAATTTCCCACACGCTTCCAACCCCTCTCCCGTAAGCACAGCGCCACGGCCTCGCTGTGCTCCAAGGCAACCTAGGCCTCTCTAACCTAGCTGGGGGCAGCGGGCGGCCCAGCGGCTCCTTAGGATCCACACATCAGGCACTCGTCCCGGTTCTCCAAGGAGCACACCATGGCTGCCTTGTTCCTTTCCTTCTCCTCCTCCTGGGAGCTCTTCTCCTTCAGCTTCTCCTTGTTCAGGGTGAACTGAATGGGGTTGGCTGCTGGCCTGGTCCTCAGGTAGTACATCCCCGTCTTCAGGCCCTGCAGGAGGCAAACCCACGTCAGCCCCAGCCCAAGGCAGCAACTGCCGCCACCACACGAACCAGAGGAGAGAGATGCGGGGGCCCTGCTCAGGCGGGGTCCTAAAAGCCGACCCACGGCGCGGGGGAAAGGCAGGAGAGCTAAGCACCGGGCCTGCCCGCAGGGGACGTGCAGCTGTGGCCAAGCACGCGGGAGACACAAAGCACCGAAAGCGGAACAGCCGCAGCCCCTCTTTCAGGCTCCGCCTGGAGCTTCGTCAGCCTGCTCCACCACCGGGAGCCAGGGGCATCTGAAACGAGCTTCTGCCCTTTTCGTTTTCCAGCACCAGCGAAATGAAGGGGGCCACCGTCCCTGCCGGAGCCAGAGGGGCCTCTGGATTCAGAGGACAAGGATGCGCTCTGGTGGGCTGTGGGGAGGGGCGCAAGGGAGAAGGCAGCTCTGGCTCCCCTCTGGGGGGCGGGCCTTTCCGACTCCCCGCGGAAGGTGGGTGGGGTGCCTGTTCAAGGTGGGCCTCCCCCCACAGCACAAAGAGGAGAGTGGCCAGGAGGCTCCTGCTGCCCCGACCTTCCCCGCTCACCTGCTTCCAGCCGTAGAAGTGCATGCTGGTCAGCTTCCCGTAGTTGGGCTCCGCAATGTGGATGTTCAGAGACTGACTCTGGTCAATGAAAGCCCCCCGGTCGGCCGCCATCTTCAGGATGGTTTTCTGCGAGATCTCCCACACGGTCTTGTAGAGCTGCTTCAAGTCCTCGGGAATCTCCGGGATGTTCTGAAGGGCAGGAGGGCAGCAGAATGAGTCCCCGGGCGATTCAGAGCTGGCAGAAAGCCGGGCTCAGAGGAGAGGAGTATGAAATCTCGGCAGCCGCTCTGCAGACATTCAGGACCGGGAAGCCCAGGGCAAAAGGCACCTCCAGCCTGTGCGACTGAGGAGGGGCGCCCCCTTTTTAAAAGCCAGGCCCTGCACTGAAGAAGTTCAGGTGAGCCCCGATGCCGCACCTGGCCTTTAGCCCACCTTCTCCAGCCTTCTGCGTCACGCAATCATTTAGGAGACCCACAAGCCTGGATGGGAGGGCCAGTAAGCATGACTGAGGGCTGCTGCTGCCGCCACCTGTGATTCAGGAGCCGGAAAACAGCCCCTAACGTCGGCAGCCGTTGAGAGCTGATCCTCCGTGAACCCCTCCAGAACTGCGGGTAGTAAATTCTCCTGTTAACTCTGTGATGCGTGAATATTGCCTTCCGTGGCTCCCAAATCTTCTGTATCGTTTCAAGGGATGGTGCTGAGTTCCCACACGGGAGAAAGCAAGACTTGTTCTCAAGCATGTTTTCACAATCTCTGTCCTATCCGATCCCTTCTCCCGCTTCCTGCCAAGCTGGAGTGCCAACGAAAGTAATTACTGGTGGCTTATCTACCCCTTGACCGGACTGTTGCTGCAAGTTCTCCTGTCCATTCTCACCACCCCAACTGCTTCTCTTAAAGCTTCCTAACCATCCAGGTGGTGTTTCTAAAAAGAGAAAACACCATTCTTCTCAAACTCCTTAGGCAGTGTGCATTTTTTTATATTACATACAGCCCTGCGTTTTGCAACCTAAACATCTCTGGATGAGAGAAGGCCATTCAACAACAAGAGTTCAAGATTACATTTTAGGTGTAAGGGTGCAACTTCCTTGCATCATCTTGTATCACTTCCATGACACAACTCTGCACGAACTCAGCTGTGCCTCACAAGTAACATCGGGTGCACGACAGAAAAATTAACGGAGCCCTCTGACCAGAGAAAGGGCCCCGGACCACGTCCCAGACATACCTGGATGGAGCCACTGAAGGCAATGATCTGGTTTTTCATCTCCTCATTCCACAGGCCCCTCTCAGTCAGGTCTTTCAACAAGTGGGGGTTCACGATCTGCAACACCGAGACACCCGCAGTCACAGTATGCACCAGCCACTTCCTTTCAGCTAGCAACAACAGCCCATCTACGGTCCGCATCACTTTCCATTCCTACCTCACCGCACAAGGCCCTTCTTTATCGGAGGCGGTGATTTTCCACTATCCTCCATGCAGCAGCCCAGAGCTTCCAACCTCACTGTGGCCCCAATTACACGACACAGAGGCGGTGGCCCGTCCTTTATCCTATTTGCAGCCCAGGGCCCTCAGCACAGCTCTGACCCACCTTGGACCCAGTTCTCTGTTCATTCAAAGGAGCTCAGGGATGGCTCTTACCTGAAACTCCCCAGAGAGAACCCGGCGGGTGTAGATGTTGCTGGTGTAGGGCTCCACAGACTCATTGTTGCCCAAAATCTGAGCCGTGGAAGCTGTTGGCATCGGGGCCACGAGGAGGCTGTTCCTGACCCCGTACCTAGAACACACGGGCAAGAGGAAAGGGGGGCTGGCAGGGGCCCAGGAGGCTGCAGCAGCAGCACTTCTGCATTCCCAGGAAAGGGGCAGGAGCAGGTCCCCTCTGCGCTGGGCACCCATCCTCTGCCACAGGCAGGGGGCGGGGGGATTAGGGTCTTCTACTCACTGTGCGATTTTTGCCTTCAAAGCACTCCAGTCCCAAAGGTCCGTGGGAGTCACATTCCACATGTCGTACTGAAGGATCTGCAGGAGGGAAGGCAGCGCCTTTCACATCGGGCCAACCCAGCTCCTGGCTTGCCAAGGTCACCTGCCTGCTCTCCCGGGAAGCCCCGCCACAGAGCAGGGGCCTGCAGAGCGCAGAGGGCCTTGATCCAAGCCCTCTGGCCAAGGGCTGGCACTTGCCCACGGTTGCTAAGGGGCGGCTGCCTGTCCACCTGACTTTACCTAGATTCTCCTGATTTGAAAAGATAAACGGGAAGCTGTTTGGCTGTGACCTCTTCCTTTTCGAGAACACCTTCAAGCCCCACTTAGGCCTCGCAGGCATTCTCAGAAGAACAAAGCGGCAGATGGGTTGGCGGGGCACCCTGGGGCAGGGGAGAGGGCAGGCGGAGAGAATCTTCACCGGCTCTCCTCCTCGGGAATGGCTGCGCCCCTTTTTCACACAGGCAGGCCTCTCCCCATGGCCGCCGTTTTGCGACGGCTCGCTGCAGCCCGTCACTGGGCCAGAACGGGAGCTGTTCTTCCCTGGCCTGGTTCCCAGCGCTGCAGAGGCTTCCCACATTATTATAAGGGGAGGCGTGAGCATTCTCTGCACAAGCATGAGGAAGAGAAGGACCTTTCAAATGTATCTCCCGAGCATAACGAGTTGCAAACAGGTTTTATCCTCAGCCCGCAGGATCAACACGGCTGCGAGTTTCCAGCTACCAACGTTTGAACCGGACTTTTTAAAATCATGCCAAAATATTTCAGCATAAAAAGAGATCTTGCATTTGCGTGTAAGTAGTTACAAAGAATCTTGTTTACAGAAAAACTGACGGAAACCATCAATTAGAACAAAAACACGCTATGTCATTTCTGAATAAAGGTTTCTCGAAAACTGAATTCTGTGTCCAAAGGTCACAGATGCAGCCTTGAATATCGCGCGTCAAGCGACAGCCAAAGCGACGGATGCTTCCTTTTGGGGGACTACAGGGGGAAGGCTATTGGCTTTAAGCAGCCTCCTCCAGGCTCAGGTGGCCGGTCCGGTGCTGGCAGACCACGGCCCCATCCAAAGCCATTCTTCCACTTACTCCTCTGCTGACCGGGCTGCCCTCGTAGGTGTCGTACGGCCCGTGTCTTTGGGCGAGCTCGCAACTGGCCTCCAGGGCCGCGTAGTAGATGGTCTCAAAGATCTGCTGGTTGAGCAGCTGGGCCTCGGGACTCTCGAAGGGGAACCTCATGAGGATGAAGGCGTCAGCCAGACCTTGCACCCCAATGCCAATGGGGCGATGGCGCATGTTCGAGTTCTCGGCCTGGAGGCGTTGGAGGAAAGAAAGGAAGGAGGGTCAGGGGGGGCTAAAGGTACACCCCGCCTTTTCTGAGAGTTCTAGAAGGTGTCGTGTGGATCTCCATTTCATCCCGAGGGGGTTTCCGCAGGTGAGGGTGGACTGGCACCTGGTTCCCCTGCTTCTAGACCGCGCTTGCAACATGGCCCCCCTGCTGGCAGGCCCATCCTCCAACATCCAGAGAACACCGTCACCCTCCTGCTCCTGGGCCCAACAAGCTGAGCTGACCATTGGCCACCCCAGACCCCCAGGTTTAAGAGCCTTGGATGCGCCAGGAGATCTCTGGGCCCCTGGCTTTCTCCAGAGCTCAATCAGGGTTCAGAACTCTCTGGAGAGCAGGGAGTTGGTCCCATTCTAGTGTGGGATCCAAGGAGAAGAGCTTTATCCGCAGCATTGTCTCAGTCCACGCTTACAAGGGAAGGAAAGGGGACAGATCTACAACAGAACAATTAACAGCATCCTAAAAGTGTGCTATTGTGAAGAAAAAGCATACAGATTTGTTACTCCAGAAGCATTGGGATAAGCTGCATTTTCAGCACAAGAGACTCCTGAACAATCACACATTCCAAAGTCTTGTTGAAACCTTTCCTTTCCAGCCATCATGCCCCCTGCTAGCCTTACCCTCCATGTCTCAGCCAGGGTGCCAACTCGCTGCCCCTCACATACCTCCACCACTGGGTAGTGGTTGATGTCGATTATCTTGTTCAGGTTCCGGACAATGACTCTGGTGACCTCGGCCAGCTTCTTGAAATCGTACGTGTGCTCTGGCGTGACGTACATGTTCAGGGCTATGGAGGCCAAGTTGCAGACTGCAACCTGGAAGGCGCAAGGGAAGAACTGCTCTTACCAGCAGGCAAAGTAACATGAGCCACCTGCCAGAAGACCTGCCTCCCCTTGAGCACACCCCACCCCACCAGAAGCTGCTCCCTTGAGCCTCCCACAATCCCCGATTCCGAGCTTGGGCCCAGGCAGGGGGATTCTAGTGATCCACCATACTTCGTTTATTCCCCATAATGGGAGTCCGTTGTTCCTAACTTCTTTTTCAAATGATTTGGTGAACGACCAGCTCCCCAAAGAATTTAAAGAACTGTGGGAAGAGGAGGGGAGTATCAAAATCTACATTTTCTCCCTATCTTGCTTCTTCGTTCCTCAAAGCAAGGCTTTCCTGTTCACAGCTCCTGAGCCCAAACCAAAGTTCTTGACCAGGCAATGAATCAGGGAGGTGCCTTTTATTGACACAAGAGTGCCCAAAGACTCTTTTCTGGGTGCCTGAACCCCCCTCTGCCTTTGGCTGAAAGACATGGAGAGCGGCTGATGGTCCCCAATATGGGAGGGGAGGGGAGGGGAGGGGCAGTTCCCTGGAGCCCCAGCAGGTGACCCACCTCATCCTTGCTGGTGAACTCCACAATTTCGGTGCACAGGTTGCTACACTTGATGGTTCCGAGGTTCTGCTGATTGCTCTTCCGGTTGCAAGAATCCTTATAAAGCATGTACGGCGTTCCCGTCTCCGTCTGCGACTCAATGATGGCGTACCACAGCTGCTGAGCCTTCACCACTTTGCGGACGCGCCCTTGCTTCTCATAGCTAGAGGGAAAAGCCGTGGATTTCAGCCCACAGACGACGCACACAACTTGTTACTGGGGAGGTAGGTCCCTCTCCAGGAAAGGGCACACACGAGACCACGCGTGCCAAACTGGATGAGTCAGTGGGGTGGCATCCAGCCCCTCTCCTGCTGCTTTCCAGGCCCAGTTCAAGCACTGGTAAGACGCGAGAGGCCTGATGAGTGCGCCTGGCTACTTACGGACTTAGCTGGTTTTAATTTATGTACTTTTACTCCACCATTGCCAAGTAACTCTCAGCAGCTTATACAGAATGCAAAAAAGTTAAAGTATCGACTGGCCTCCCCAACAGCCCCTTCCGCACTCTATGCCCTCCAGCTCCACACCTCAGGGTTACACCTTCCCAACCCTCCCCCAGCTGGGGGCACCAGTTCCCCACAAAAAGCATCCATATTCCAACCAAACCCACCAGCCGGGCACCTCAACCACCTCCAACATACACATGACTACAGTTCCGGCAAGCCCTCCAACTCAACATAATGCAGATCCTCAGCCCCCAAGCGCCTTCTCCCTAGCACCACCACAGCCCAGGATTTTGCTCCTTCCGTGCCCCTCCCACCCTGCTGGAGGGAGCCCCTTGGGAGCCACCAGAGGACAGAGGGGCCTAGCCGTATTTCTTTTCTGACGCAAACACGTTCCAAAGCGCCCTGGAAAAACGCTGCCAGTTCCATTCTGCACGTCCCAGCCCAGCTGGTGATTCCTACCTCTCGTAGAGCCTCTCGAAATCTTCTCCCCAGACCTCATCAAGACCTGGGCATTCGTTTGGACACATCAGGGACCAGTCCTGTTGAAGGAGGGGGGAAGGTTAGCTCTGGTGGGCTCGAGCCCCCACCCAGAAGAAAGAGACTCCCCCAAAGGCAGCTGAGGCCTTCCTGCTGCACCCAAAAGGCTCCTGCCCTCAAGGAAGCCAAAGGATGGAGGATCCACACCCGGCTTTGGTTCTTCAAAAGCATCACTGGAGGGGAGGCTCAGAAGAACACACCGAGTGTTCTGTTCCACTTTTCCCCCATACGGAATAGGATAATTTGCTCCCCTACAGGTCAGGGAAGCACCGGTCTCCTTAGGAGTAAGCCCAGCCTAACACCAGGGTAGCTCCTGGCAGATCCGGTAGGCTGAAGCAGCCAGGCTGAGGAGGGCGCTGCATTTCAAGAGGGAATCGAAGGAGGTGGCTGGGCGCAGCTGGGAAAAGGGTTCTGCTCAGCTGGCCCCTTTCCACAGAACCATCAGGCCATCGGCCTCCCCGGGCCCTTCCGGAGCCCTGCCGTGAGGACAGCCCATTTTCCTCTGCCTGCTTCCAGCACAAACTTCAAAGGAACGCCTGCTAGAGAAGCAAGCTGTCATCTTTGAGCAGAAGTTGATGAGCAGAATTTGCCAGCTGGCACTGGACGCCACTCTCTGAACCAAGACAACACCAAAACCTGTTTCTGGCATGCACTTGCTTCATTTTGGTCTGGGGAGGACGGAAGCATCAGCAGGGAGGGTGCGCCTTGGCCAGCCAGAGAGCTTCAAGGCACCTTTTCTGAGTTGTCCTCTGGGAACCTTTGCACCTACACCTGGGGCGGCTCCTGCCTGTAGCAACTGGGGGCTTTAAAGGATTCCTCAGTCAACATGAGGGCCTCAGGAGCTCTTTTAAAAGCAGGCCTGCCACTTCCTAGCGCTCTAGTCTATGCGTTTGCTAATGGGTATCCTCTTTTAGGCCCAGGGTTGGGTTACATTTCACTTCTGCAAGCCACAAAATGTGTTAATAAAAACCTTAAATGTTAAGTTCTTGAAAAACAGAGCAACATACACTTCTGATCAGTCCAGGATTAGCCCACAAGAATAAGTGTAACACTCTCTAGGCCTCCAATATTGGGAGAGCAATTTTGCTCTGCGGCAAGGTTTCATGCCACAGTGAGGCTATTCCCAGCTCTTCAGGTGTCCTGCCAAGTGTCTGAGAGATCAGCCGCGTTCCCTGTACCTGGTTGGTCTCCACACGTTTCATAAAGAGATCTGGGATCCAGAGAGCATAGAAAAGGTCCCGAGCCCTCTGCTCCTCCTTCCCAGTGTTTTTCTTCAAGTCGAGAAACTCAAAGACATCAAAGTGCCATGGTTCCAGGTAGATGGCAAAGGCTCCAGGTCTCTGTCAGAAACATGCAATCACAGTGAAGACCACTATTAAATTCCTCCAGGCCAAATTCCACGTTGACTGTATTTCTGAGCCCTCTTTCCAAACCTTCAAGTCTGCCAGCCTTCCAACAATATGGGAGAGTGCTGAGGATGGGGGACCCCTTCATCACTGGCCAGAGACAAGCCCTCCCTTTAAACTGTGTTGGAGAAGATCCTGGGAAATCCACAGGTCTCTACCAGCAGCCTTGGAAGAATGCCTCCTACCTTGTTCCCCCCCTGGTCCACGTAGCGAGCCGTGTTGTTGTAGACTCTCAGCATTGGGACCAACCCATTGGAGTTCCCATTTGTCTGAAAAATAGAGAGATTTGAGACAGTGAACTAGACCCACTGAGGCACAGGCCTACGTGGCTCCTTAGCAAGAGAAAAAGACTCTCCATCTCCATGACGGAGTCTGTTTTCAGTTGCAGTTTCCACCCTTATTCCACAGCATGCAGGAATCCAACTGGGCGGCCAACAGCAGACGCACCCCAGCAATGTAGCTCCCAGTGGCTCGGATGCAGCTCACAGCAACTCCAATTCCACCGGCAGACTTCGAGATGAGCGCACAGTGCTTCAGGGTGTCGTAGATCCCTTCAATGCTGTCGTCCTTCATGCACAGCAGAAAACAGCTGAATGGAAAGAAGGGGAGACTTGCAGGCTCCAATACAAGGCAGCCCCCAAAACCCCACAGAAGACAACCTGAACCCTTGAATTTTTTTCTACCAAGATGGCGGTGCTTCCAAACCACAATCTAACAACTTCAGTAATAGGGACACAGTTTATTTTCCCAATTCAGGCCTTTCCCAATCAGACTAACTTTACTTTGGTAAATTTCCCAAGGCCACAATTACAAGCAAACGTTGCCCATTACAAGTGGCTGCAGCAGGCTCCAAGGCAACCACCGAGAAACTCCTCCGTCCTTTCTCCGCTGCTGCCCTCGAGATGCTGAAATCAGACTGATTCCCAAGTCCAGCTGTGGAGAATTAAGGGAGCTACTGTCTCACGCACCTGAAGAGCAGATGGTGGGGAGGCCCTAAGCCAGAAGCAGCTCCCCTCCCCTCCCCTCCCCTCCGCACAGCTCAGCCAGCCGCCCACCCTTACCTGGAGAGCTGAGGGCGGTTGGTCCCAGCGTTGAAGAGCGTAGGAGAGGCGTGGGTGAACCATTTCTCGGAAAGAAGGTTGTAGGTTTCAATGGCTGCCTCAATGTCGCTCTTGTGGATTCCCACAGACACCCTCATCAGCATGTGCTGGGGACGTTCAGCCACTGCGAGGCAGAAAGGCACAGAAGGGAGAGCGCGTCACCACACTCAAGGGGAGCAGCAAGACGTTCTTGGGAAGGAGCCCTCGTATGCGTAGGACAAGGAGACCTCACGTATTTGGCTGGGTGGGAGAGAGACCTGTCCCCACACTTATTTCACCTGATCTGGGTGTCTTCGAGGTGCATAGATAAGAAAGTTGATGGCAAAACTGCTTCAAGGATGCAAAAGGGGAAAAAAAATCCCCTATCAATAAAAACCCATTTTAGGAGACATTTTAGTCCAACGTTGGCCTACGTTTGAGTTGCTCAGAGGAGCCCCGAAAGAGAATGTGCTTCCAGGAGGACAACAGTATTGCTCCTTGGAAGAGTCTGAGGCTAGACCAGGGAATAAGGAAGCAAATGTTCACGCGAGTCAACCCTCTGCTTGTGGAGGGTCCTTAAATGGCCTCTTGCCCCTGCCTAAATTACCCCTTTGGGAAAGACCCAGTATTATCAATATAAAACATTCATCCACCAGGTTTTATCATTGGAGGAGAGTTGTGTTAATTGATGGTGGCAAAATTTCAGGAGCCTGGTAGCATCTTTTTCAAATTTTATTAAAAGGCAGAAAATTTCGTGAACTGCGGTTCACTTCATCAAATGCATACAATGGTTAACTGACGTAGGATTTAAACTGGGGTAAAGGAGGGGGAAGTAAGGGGGAAAGGCTGGCTGGTTATGAAGGTTCCATGTGAGACAGGTACCTTATCAATTCACAATTTTGGTGTGTTAGAAGCCCACCGCGTTTGTTGAGACCTTCTGAGATGGCCTGAAACTTTTTGAGAAATATGAGTTCAACCATTTCTCACTTGATTATCTTGCTTTTCTAGAACAGTCATTTTAAAGTCTGTTAGTCGAAAACCCTCATTTTTTGGCCAGGTTTTATTAAAAGTTTAAAAAAATTAAGAACATCGTACAAACCTTTAGAATTGATTTTCAGAAGATAGGAGCGCTCCAGAGTCTTACAGAAGATAAAAAAGCATAACGTCATCAGGGGACAATAAAATAATACAACCATGTATCACTGACAACCAATCTTTAAATCTATTGCCAGCACCCAAATGCACTTGCTGTAACTGCCCCTCTTCCCCCCATGGCCTGGAGCCAGCAGAGACCCCAGCAGGATGAGGCACCCAACAGCCCCTGAGCTTCTCCACTGTGCAGAAGAGGCCCTTTCCAGCTGCATTTCCTCAACCATCCCAAAGAAACCTTCCCAGAAGCAAAACAAGGCTTGCAAATCCTTGTTTTTTTAGCAAGGATAGGTGACTGCTGTATATTTGATTACGTGAACTGCCCAGTTTTGCTACTTGGGTGGTACACCAACAATTGTGATAAATTAAGTAACTGGGACCATCAGCCTCAACTCCACTGTCCTTAGCAAGAGGCCATTTCAGACCTATCAAGAATTATCAGCCCCTCCAGCTGTGCAAGGAAGGAAGGCAGGCAGGCAGACAGGCTGGCTGGCTCGGTCAAGGAAGCTGGCAGGAGGAGATTGGATTCCCCCCCCCCCGCCGCTGCCCTCAGCCCAGCCATCATGCAGATTTGAGGGGTTATTCCCAAAGATAATTCAGCCCCTCCTGCCCTGAATCAAGCAACCTCTCTGCCCTTCTTCCACCAAGCACGCTGCGCTCATGCAAGCCTTGACACACAGCCAGAACGTGCCAGGAAACACGCAGCTTCCTTGGCAGACACGGGCATCAGAAGAATTCCCGCCTTACGGGTTGGCTGAGGGTGTGATGGGGAAGATGATGCCGGAGAAGGCACAAAGCTGGAAACTAGCTGAAGCTGGTAGTCCCGACTTACCATTCTTGACCATTCATAGAAATGACAAAGACACCCTGCCTTATTTACTGCCTGCCAAACCAAAGACGCCTGAGTAGGGACATTCGGGTACATAAAGAGAAGCTACAGGAAAGATGGTCATGAAAGCTTTTCCCTGGCCACAGAAACTAGGACCGGAAGTAATGGGTCCAAGTTGCAGCTCCCTAGGTATCCCTTAAATACAAGGAAGAGCTTCCTGATGGTAACATCTGCAAGAACAGAAGGGTCTCCCTACAGAGGTTGTGGGTTCTCCACCTCTGGAGGTTTTGAAGAAGAGGGTGAAGAGAAGAGGATCCCTTCTCATGGAGGGTTTAAATGGTCTTCCTGCACGTCGCACAGATGGTCCTTATGTTCCCCTCTACTCCAACATTTCTACAAACTACCTTCTCTCAAGTCTTAACCGCAGCTGCTGCCTTCAGAGAGAGATCAGCTCTTCCTTACCTTAAAGCCAAAGTAATTGTAAGCAAAATCCCGATCGTAAATTATCGCAGAGTTTAGTCGCTGGAAAAAGAAACAGGACATCAGATTCAGCTTCGAGAGGAGACCTCGTCCAGCATGAGCCCAGATATGCAGCTCTCTTGTTCCTAAGTACGCTGGAATTCAAATATTCGGTTTTGGGGGATCTAATCTGACGTCAGGGAGAGTTCTCAGTAGCAAACTGCTTTTGATCATCTCTTAATCACAGAATGCTTCCTGGCCTTGATGATCTGTGCCATGACACTTCGAGCACTGCCAATTCTATGTGAGCAACTGAAAAGATTCATTGCTGTAGGGAACAGAGACCCAGTGCAGTTCAGGCCCAGACGCAAGTCTTTGTGAAAAGACCACCGAGTTGTGCTCACAACCCTAAATACAGAGGAAATACCAGAATCACAAAAAGGATGCAGGTGACGCTGCAATTCGTGATGGCCGCACTGCCAACTGGCAGCCTTGCACACCTCCCCACAAAGGCACACTTGCACTAACCCAAAAAGACCAAGGTAACATTCCAGTCCATACCATCTCAAGACTATATTCCCCCAGCACCAGAACCTTTTACTCCATCTGCTGAAAAGATGCTTTATTCAATCAGCACGTACATCTTTGTTGGCCTGTACAATGTCGAGTGTTTCTTTGGAGATCATCGGAGAATGCCTGCCATTGTGGGGATTCACGTAGTTGTAGAGGTCTTCCATCACATCTACAAAGCAACAAAGGCAGGATAGAGCATGACTACAGATAACACGGTCATATTAACCGTGGGAGAAGTAGCACACATCTACATGGCAGTCAAGATGTAGAGGATCAATCTTCTACTCATCCATCTTTCTGTTCAGAGCCCACCAGCATTCAGATTAATTTGCTTCTCCCCAAACAGTATAACCAGAATTATTCAGAGCTATATCAGCCTGAGGCCATCAAGGAGCTAGAACAATTTTCCTCTGACTTCTTTTGTACTGGAAGTTCAACAAGGAAGCCTTCTCAGTGGTCACCCCAGACAGGCTACAAAAGCCCACCTGGTCCCTTACGTTTCGGCAGGCAGGGAAGACTATTGTATTCCAGACTACTTTTTATGAACTTGGTGTCTCTTAAGAACATCTTAAACCACCCTATTAACCTTTGCATTGCTCTTTGTTTTATCGTGTGCTTATATTTTTAGCCTTGTTTCTGACAGTACCCTTATTGCAGAAAGAGAAGGAAAAAACATGGTAATAAGTTAAACAAATACGTATAGGACCATTTGGGGTTCTTTAGAAAAAAATGAAGGAACATCTTGCAATCCCAAGGTGGTCTAGGCTGACAACCTTCCCAATAAATCCCTTTACGTGCAGGGCAGGATTCAGTCCAAGGCTACATATCTGAAAAGAGTTCTTCGGCCCTTTTGTATCAGAGTCTGAATACAGAAAGAAGGAAGTTCTGCATTTACAAAAGGGCTATTTCATGTTTCCCAGCAAATACCAAGCGTTCCGAAGACCCAGCGTGCTTCATCTTCTTGGCCTTATCATGGCCATCTGACAGAAAGGGAAAAAGGAAGGGGCCAAGTTTCTTAAAACCACTGATGAGTTTACACATAAGCAACCTTTGAATCGGGGGCCCTGGACTCACAACAACCATAACAGAACACTTTCATTCAGCAGCGCATCTTTCCAAATCGTTCGCCAAACCAGTGCTTTCGCACACACCACCAATCCAGAACGTCTTTTAGTCAGATTAACGGTATTACCGTTCGCCTATCAGCCTCCTGTATGCCCCCAACTCTCCCTGCAGAGCAAAGGTCGTCCCGCCACACTCACCACTGAAGACCTTCTTTGTTTCTTTGTGCAGGTTGGAGACAGCGATTCTCGCGGCTAGAATGGCGTAGTCGGGGTACTTGGTTGTGAGAGTGGCTGCGGTCTCTGCAGCCAGCGTGTCCAGTTCTACGGTTGTTACCCCGCTGTAGAGACCCTGGATCACCTTCATGGTGATTTGAGCCTAGCCAAAAGAAAAGAGCACCCGATGACCCCTCTTGTTCTTGGCAAAGCGCTTTCCCGAAGCGTATCGTCTCTACAGCCTACAAAATCTGCCTCTTGCAGCCCTCCTGAAACATCGTACAGAAGAAGATTTCAGGAAGAACCACGTTTCTTTGGATAAATCACAGGGGAGGGGCTGCGCGCGGCGCACTTAAACCGGCTGTTGTC